GCAGCTTTAAGTGTTGCCTTTCAAATTATGCTACATATACTGGAACAGGTTGCATATTTTCCATTGTTTCTAACATGATTTTTGTATGTGTACTTTTAGGATAAATTTATATAGAGAAACTTTCTTTATGTCTGCCGTCTACCATTCCTTTTATTTACCTGCATGATCTATTTTCAAGGAGTTAGAGTACTCTAAAAAGTAATTCTGGAAGTAACCTTATGACAGCTAATGAGAAGCAAAAACATAACTCTCTGGAATTTTAGGGGAAGATGACAAGTGGACCTCCTAAAAGAAGTAAGACTCATGTGACATTTTCTAAAACAAATTACACTACGTAAACAGCATTATTGAGGGATTTCACCTGAAGATGACCAGTTGTTACTCTGTACCATGAATTCTGCCCAACTATGTTGACCCTGTATGCCTTTGACACCAAAGTGACATCTGACTAGAGGTGTGCCTGAATGAATATGGAGTTATTTCCTCCAATGGGGAAACATCACTGACACCATCAACAAATTCAACAACAAAAATAACTCTAGAATGTAACCTTCACTTCCCTGGCCTTCTTAGTAGACTTAGGACATTGTTTCCTCACCCATAAACAAACAGCAAATAATCGTGGCCTGACTCCATAATAGGGTCATTTCATGTAATGAAGGCCATCTATCCATTCATTCATTTGTTCACTCATTTTATTTGTTATAAAACATTGATTTTTTGTAGTTTTCTGGGGGCAAAGAAGGTCTAAATCCCAATCTCTGCCTCTAAGAAACTCATGGCTCCATAAGAGGCAAGTTAGTCAATGAGAATTTACTATGGTGAGTAGAAACAGAAGCATGTACTAGAAAGGGAAATATGTTAAAGACTGAAGAGGAAAGCATTTAGGGAAGGCTTCCTTAATGAGATGAGCACTAAACTGAGGTGAAGCTTAAGATGGAAATTATATAAAGTATATGAAGAGTATAGCTAGCCACATATGGAGTGAGTGACATTTCTAGTACCAAAAGCAGCGTTACAAAATTAGTAGGCACCAAGCACTGCTTCTTGACTTTTCATGCATATAACTACAAGAAGTTCAGACTAGCTAGTATGAAGGATGAGAGAGGGAGGGATGGGGTTACAAACCTATGGAGAAACAATGCAGATAAGAAATGACTAACTTAGCACCAGTATCATTAGAAATAAGCTAAGAAATACAGATGCAGTATTTAGAAAGGAGAACTAAGAGAAGTGGAGAACGACTCAGGTTACAAGAAGAGGAGCTGGAGAATGGTGAGGTAGGAAACCAAGGAAATATAGTTTCATGTTGGCTCAGAAATATTTGCCATAAGGAGCCAGGGAGGCAAGCAACCTGAGATGTCCAATAGCCAGTTATCTACACTGGGGTTGGGATTATGGTCAGGTAAAGCTGAAAGCACCTATAGAGTGTGGATAGTCTAGATGCTGAAATAAAGAATGCATGTTGAAGAGATTACTCAAGGGAGAGTGTGTTGATGAGGTGACCTAATTAACCAACAGGAAACAACTCTTAGTAAGTCTCAAAAGGAAAGACCAGAAATACAGAAGTGGATTCTAGGAAAGAACTACGTAGAGGAGTTTCAAGATGTATTAGATCACTGATGTTGGCTCTTATTGAGAAGACAGAGAGTGGTTTAAGGGCTGAAAAGTGGCACTTGGGGAAGAAAGAGATTAATGCATGTCTTGAGGGAAATATTACAGTTGTTGGGGAAGTGAGAGATAAAGTATAAATTGATTTTTGTAGAAATTTAACCCACATAAGGAAGAGGTGAGTGATTACAGCAGTGAGTCATGGATATGAGGAGAATGAAGCACATTTTTCTTGAATGGAGAGAGAGATCTCAGCATGTCTTTTAAGCCTAAATGAAAGTTCCAGTAGAGAGTGAAACAATAAAAAGGAAGAAGGAAAAGAATCTTTTAAGAATCGATAGTGTGCTAACTAGGTGTGTGACCTTAATAATAAAAGAATCCACATTGCCATGTAATCCTTCCAGCTAGCAATACTCAGCAACATTAGTATAGAAGTAGACGGATTTGGGGGTTGCATTATGTCAGGTGGAGCGTTGTCTGACAATTGCTAGAGGAATTCATGGAGTGAGAGTTCCTAGGACTGTAGAGTAGGAGCTATTTACACGACATACCATAGAATGTAGGCCAGGGAGATGTTCAAATTGCTTTAAAATAGAATGAGCCAGTTAATGGAGATTTTGTTGATATCAGTGTAGAAATGACATAGGAGTAAGGACTTGTGAGAATTAGAAGGTTAAAAGGATAGGAGTCTGGATTTAGAGCATGAGAAAACAGGACTGAATATTTCAGAGAAAAGCTCATTCTGGATAATGAAAGCACCTGAAGTACTTGGGGTTCTCAATCCTAGTTATACATTGACTCTGGGGTTTGCAAAATCATTTGTCCAGGTATTACCTCCAGAAAACCTGAGAGTCAGTTCTAAGTAGGCATCAGACATTGAAATTTTATGATTTTCCATGGTATTCTGGTGAAGCCTGATTGAGAACCATTCCTTTAAAAGATGAAGGAGGGAGTGGATTGAAAAAATGAAAGGGTAATAACACTGATCAGATCTGAGGAAGGTTAAGGATCCCCCTAAGGAAAAGGCATGAAGAAGTTACCCACTTTTTTTGTTTCAGGATAATTCTAGTGTAGAAATTAGAAAGGAAGACTGAAAGCCAAGGTCTTCAAAGGACCCAGAGGCATGAATAGGAAGGAGAAAGTGGCAATCACCTCTAAAGGAGAGTAACTTGTAGGCAAGTGCAGAAAAGCTGACCTCAAATAAACAACTTGAAATAAACTGTTTGGAATAAATCGGAATAAAGTATAACTTCCTCATTCTGGCAGGTAGAAAGAACTGGGATAAAGAAGAAGAAACAGCTTCCACTAGGATATCTGAGGATGCACACACCATCATCAGATAATTTGCAATCCATACATCTAGGGTAGGGCTAAAGCACCTCATTTTTAATATGCATCCCTCATAACAATGATTTACAGAGAAACTTAAGAACCTGTAGCAAGAAATGATTAGAGCATTTAATGAATAGGTGTAAAGTAAAAGAGGTTTTCCCCCTTTAATCATATGAGCTTTAGCTCCAGAAAGAATACAGAATACTAAGATCGGGTATACAAAGGAGTCAGAGCAGAGAAAATTGGAAGCAATGGGCTAGGAGGGAAATACTGATGCCTTGGACAAACATAGTGACTTCTGAAAATAAAAGAAAATAGATTCAAGAAATTTCAGAAGCTAGACAAATCATGTAGAAATAGAGTTAAAATCTAAGATGACTCCCAAATTGTTGGTTTTGTTATCTGGGCCATGTAAGATTACTTATTAGTTTAGTGGGAACATTATGATCTGAATATACAGTTTCTTTTTATTTTAATTTTTCTTTTATTGAAAATTCATTTTTATACAATGTATTATGACTATGGTTTCTCTTCCTCCTCTCAGTTCTTTCCTGCTCCCCCAACCTGGATCTGCCCATTTTCTGTCTCTCTTAAAAAACAAACAGCTATGTAAGGAATAACAATAAAGTAAAATAAGCTAAGATAAATATAAAACAAATCATAATATGATGTATTTCTTAATTTTGTATATTTTAGAATAATTTCTTTCAATAATCTATTGGTAATGGATAGTATAACCTCTTATTTGCTCCATTTCTCCCCAAAGAGGTGTCTAAGACCATGCTCCTCCTTTAATCTTAGTGGATAGCAGTATTACTTCCCTGAGATAGGAAATCAGGGGAGGAACAAGTTTGTGTTTCTTGCTTTTTGCACTTCACCTCAAAAGAAGGCAAAAGACTGGCTATCAAGCAACTTTCTAGAGTTTGAGTAAAGTCTATACAGAGATTTTCTTCTTTGGATTTAAATCTAAGACAGTATGTCATAAATGTGCAGCCAGTAGAGAAGCGAGGACAATATTTACTGGCAAAGAAGCCATAGATGAAGGTTGATATAAAAATATAGGAGCATAAACTGGAATCTAGGTAGATTATGAACTTCTGCAAGTAAATGCAAAATTGTGTATATAGCTTTACTACATTTTGATTGGTAGATGTTCTATAATTTCTTCAGATTTTTCAAGTGGAACTTAGGGTATAGAGGATATCAAGAGTTGGTTTCTATGACATAAATGAAGCTACTTCAACAGGCTTCTGCATCCAAGTGGGACACTTCCAAAATACTGAGGAGCCTTGATAAACTATGACTTGTGTATTTATAATTTTCTATTCTTTTTTGCTTATATATAAAAGTCTTTTTTTCAAAGTGTGTAAAGCATTTGATAATATAAAAGCTTCATCCACCTCTGTCTGCCAGATTAGGGAATTGCTTGACATAGGTTTGTGTCTAAGAGTGAGGTCGGTCTAGGAGAAGAGACTTTGTATAAAGAAAAACTGCAGAAGGGCAAAGACTGCACTAGGGAAGATAAACCAACAAACACAACAATACTCAAATAAATAATGGTTATTGTGTGAAGAAGAAAATCAGACAACATTGTCAAGGAAATGAAGAGGAACATGGTTAGCCATATCCAGGAATGATGGTCAGTCAGAAAAGAGGAAAATGAAGAAAAAGTTCACAGGAGTTATTTCAGTGAGACAAGGGCAAGGGGAAACTGTCCCATTTGCTCCTCTGAAGAAGTAAAAGTCATAGTTGACCAAGTATAAATAGCCACTATGGTATGCAAACCTGCAGAGTAATTTGTACTAACAACTGAGAGGTCTCAAGTCACTTTTGAGCAAGGATATTATCATTACTATAAGCAATGACGTCTTCACTGAGGTTAAGTTACACAGCATGTATGTTCTTGAAAATACTGAATCTTAATTTTTTCACCCTCCTGCCCTGAATCTTAAACCAGTCAGCTGTCTCTATTTTATGATTGTTTTGATGAGCCTACTTATACTTATATAAGCCAAAACTATACCTCAAATAAATACATGTTAACATTTTGTCTTTAGCCAATAAGAAGAAAGAGAAAGAACGCCCAGAGATCTCTCTTCCTTCAGACTTTGAACATACGATTCATGTGGGGTTTGATGCAGTCACCGGGGAATTCACTGTAAGTAAGCTCCTTATTTTGCTTTGTAAGCCATGAGAAAAACCTATTTCCTTTACGAAAATAGGTTTCAAGTAAGAATTGCCGTATTCCAAAATGTTAGACTGGAGATGGACTTTTCCTGGATAATCATACATAGAAAGTGGGAAATAATATTGACAAAATTATTCTGTCCATCTTTTAAAAAGTGTCTGATCACCCTGTGATTTTCAACTTACTTGAAAATATTTGCCAAGACACAGGAAATGTTGCTATAGTAAGAGACCCTGCCTGAGCCTGTTCGTTAATCATGTATAGCTAATCAAATAATAATTTATGCAGCTTGGCCAATGAAGGCAGTTCATCTGAATAATTCAGGCTTTATGGTGGGTCCTGAATTACACAGTTCGGCTAACTACACTACCAAAAGTCTCTGTAAAACTTGCCTCTTCACACCTTTTACTTTAAGAACATAGATTATTTTTAAGGTTATTAATAGGTATATTTTGTAGACATTCAAAACCACAAGCCCCATGTTTCAGGAAGAAATATTAATAATTGTATATCACATATGCACTAGTAGTTAGTTATATTATTTCATATTCATTATGTATGAATCATCTATAAAAATTTCCACATGAATTACCTGGATATGACATAGGTCTAGATGTATTCCCTTTTTGGATAATTACAATGCTCATGTATAACAAACTCTCAGTTATATGCCAAATCATTCCTCTAAAGAAATTATATGGTACCCCTTCATTAGATGGGTGAGGAGAGAAATGTTGCCAGAAATATGACCCAATATTTCAGCTAATTTTTCTACACTAGTAAGGAACTCAATCAATATGTGCATTCTGAAACAATAAAAGAGCTTCAAATGAATTTAGAAAATTAAAACTTCGATAAAATTGTAATAATGTTTGTTTGGCTAAATACAAAAATATACACATTGAAGAGTCAAATTCCCCAACTTATAGCATAATGGTCAATGAATGGTCTGTGTCATATGGTTAAGGAGGGGGAAAGAAGCAAGTCAATTTGATTTGGAGAACTAAACTATATTGCTTTATTGACAGCCAAATTACTTTATTTGTTCAATTCTGGAATTAGTAGTGCAAGAATGAAATAGAAACAGAGGAAATATCTTGACTTCATACATTGGTGCAGCCTGATTATTTCTATGTTCTCAGTAGAAAGCAGAAAAATGCACAGAACTAACATGACTGCTGATACTGAGATAGTTACTTTTTAAAACTGAGACAGATACAATTTAATGCATTGTGTTATTTTAATCAAAGACAGTACTTAAGTGCCATTTAGTTTGAGCCCAGCTTTTATTTCATTGGCTACATTTCAAAACTAAAAACTAATTATCAACACTGTCACCGCCATCTTTGTCACTTGAATAAAAGTTGTTCTTATAATCCGACCATTGAGTGTTTAAAAGCATCCAAAGAGTCTCTAACTAATTTTCTGATATTTGAAACAGGAAAAACCCTCAACTTTATAGTTTTGTCTAATAATTTTTCTCTTTTATTTTAAGTGCTTCATTTTTTCTCTCCCTCTATGCTTCTCTTCTTTTGAAACTTCTCTGAGTTTTGTTCCTCTTATTCCATGTTTTCTTGTTCTTCTTTTTGGGTTCTATTCTGAATATTTTCTCATTTAGCATTCTGGTTCACTTCCACATTTTTATTTCTTTCTGCCTGTTTGACATCTTTTGCCATGGTTTCCCCATCTTTAGTCCTTTCTTTAGTCTTTCTGGGTTCTGAATGGAAATAAAGGTAAACTGAATCACCACCATCTTGCTGACTGCAGCATCAGCCATTTCTGTTGTGGTCTGAATTAGAACCCAGTGGACCAAATCCAAGAGGAGTGAGGTGGAATATATGATAAACAGCCTTTCTAGCCCTAATGCAACCCAACCAAACAACATCCGCTTATAAAATTCATTTGAAATGGAATAGCTGTTTAAGTCAACTAATAGAAATTTATTGACCTTGTAGACTGATACATAGCAAATTTGGTAATTTGAAGTACTTTGTTTTCATCTTGATGATCTTGCAGCTACTTGTACATACATTTTTAAATGATCATAAATTTTTACCTTCTTTATTATCTTAACCTATGATTTACAATTAATATGCTAGTACATTTAACTTTTAAACCACCAAAGTTAATAAGTCTTTAAAACTTCTATTGGTAGGATTTAGAATTGGGTCTTAATTGCCATCAGTACCATTAGTCAATTTGTCTGTTGGGGGAAATCAGATTGTGAAATTTGATTATTGTGGTTGTAGATGTTGAATTTGAGCAATTTGCTGAACTGTAGATCAGTTGTTTTACAAGTGCCTGCTCTTTTGAATAATTGAACACTAGTTTGATATGTTGCTTGGTGATTACCCTAATGGCTAATTGGCTCATATAACTTTGTATACCTGGGCATGTACTTGGACCCTAAAGCTAAAATTAGGATGGGAGGTGAGATTTGGGTTATTAAATTATTACAAGTCCTTACCCATTATATTGCCATTTTTGTCCCAAATACTTCAGAACTCCCCTTTCCAGACCTCTAGACCTGTGACGGTCGCTTCAAGTCAATCAGAGGGAAAAATGGTATGAGTGATATAAATTATCATTTCTTATGATAAGATAAATGCTTGGCCTGTTATATCATGCTGCCATTCTCCTGGGCTACACTGGACACTCCCAGCTTGATGTACAACTACTTGTTATTTTATATATGCAGGCACCGACATGTGCTCCTGCTTCTGATGCTCAGACTCTTAGGTCTCCATTAGTTGTTGAACTTTTAAGATTAGTTCCTCAATTTGGAGTAATGAGATGACTCTCTGATTATGTGCCATTGTGGCTTATGCTCAAATTACAGTAATCAGGTCTCATTGATGAACTGGTTTGTCTCATCTTAGAAAAGAGAAAATATGTCAGCAGTGTAGTCATGTGGTAAGTAGAGTTATCTGGAGGAACTTCTTCAATTGACAGCATTTTTTCTGCTGTCTAGTGATGATCACACAACTATTTATTACAAAAAGTTTAGACGTACCATAGGAATATATAATACCTACAAATACTCTTAATGATTATGGTAATGATCATGCCAGTGAAGTCTGCTTTAGTGGTTATGTGCAATGCATACCTGGATTTGTAACACTTAATAACTCCTTTGGCCATTACAGTATTAACCAAATGCTATTAATTGCACTTAGAATCAGAACTGGGATCATGCATGGGCTCCTGAGTTCCAATTTTTGGCTTAAGGCTTTAGCATCAAACTGCGTGATGAATGCATGTAAAAGTGTTGTTTCACTGTGCTTGGAGTAACCATAAATGTCAGGGATCAAAGACATATATCCCAAATCACAGCAGTTGGGTCAAAGCATGTTTCTTCAGCATTTGAGATATCATAAATTAGACAAATCTGTTCATTTATATCTGATCTTATTTGTGGGAAGTGGGGTTTGGGAACTATATCATTAAGTGAAAATTATTCATGCAAGATTTGAAATGAAATGTTTTCCCTTTCCCTGATATGTGTGTATTAAACCTAAGCACGGTGGCTATGTAGGGATGGCTTTAGTCTCCTTTTCTCTGAGTCACCCACGACTTTAGCCAAAAAATACAGAAGAGTAATGTCAATTTAAAAAGCTCAATATTGTTATATAGCCATCCTTTGAATTTTAGCCACATAGGTATGTCCCATGTGAAATGGAAATTTCGTTAACCAGAATTGGGAACTGAAATTTTGAAGTCTATCCTATGACCATTGGCTATCTTTGATGACCAATTATAAAAGCAACTTACAAATGATTATTAAAGCCTTCCATAATGTCATACTTTGTCCCACCAAATCTTTGTTGCTTCTTTATAGTAATTTCCCTGATCATTTAATGGTAATTCTTATTATTTATAGAGGAAGCATCTAGCCCAAAGTGGAATTATATATCCAAACTTTGGAACACTATTGTTTTCTCTGTTCTCTTAAATCCGTTGTCCTGTAGCCTCTCCTGTCCCTGGTTTAGTGAATGCCTCCCTATTTCCATAACTGCCCCACTTTAAAAGGGAAACCCCCATTCCGACCCATTGGTTTCATCTCTTCCCACCTTCTAAGTTGTCCCACATTCTGTTTTAACTTTCTTTTCTTTCTTTATTTACGTCCATTACAGCCAGATCTCTATGGCTCACAGATGTGCCCAGGGAAGCTCCCAGAGGTGCGTCACAGGCCCAAAAGAAGCTTGCATCAAAGTGCTTCTTTGAGATGTCATAGCACTGCAGTAGCAGGTTCATGTGTGTGCAGTAGAGTTGTTGCTTGGCTTATCTCACTTTTTTGTTGTCATTCCCAAACTCTGGAGGCCCACGTCACACATTGTTTTGCCGAGACTTCATGGGACAAAGTCATAATAAATTGTGCCTGGATGCACTTCAGCGATAGTGTATCCGTTTCTCCAAGCTGTTCTTGGAGGTTGGATAATTATAAAATGGGGACATCTGCGGGATGAACATGCAGGAAAGAGTACTGAATGCTCGGTGTAAAGTTAACCTCTCTGTAATTTTAAATAATTCTCCTTGGTTAGATTTCTGAATATTCCCCCTCTGTGTTCTAAATGCTTCATATATCCATTACAAATTCTCACAAAACTTTGGTATGGTTTTACAGTCCCCAGCTTCTATGTGGCCAATGAATGAAGTAGGGATGAAGAAAGAGGGGGAGGAGAGGAGGAAGGCGTGCCCTGGAGAAAGCTGCACGAAAAATAACCAAAGCAGCGTAAATGTTACTGTTTAGTGTTTCAGTGGTCGTTGCTCCTCCACAACTCTAGTTTTTCTCCTCCCAATTTGACCTTATAATAAATCCCTAGAACCCCTAAATTACATTTTGTATACAGAAAGTAGAAACTGACCAAGGGTAAGACTTTCCTTTTATTTGAAAGGATATTCTGGTTAAAACACACCCCAAAAGAGCTGCAGTCATTTAAAACAAAAACAAAAAACCATTGATCTGCACTATACTATAATGTGCACAAATTTAGAGAAGTCTTGCTATGTCTGCCCTGAGTCACCAGAAAAAAAATAAGCTAAGCTGTAAACATCATTTCATGGATGAGCAGAGTCAATATGGAGGTGATTTCCATGTGCTTTTTGTTTTTTATCACAATCATACTCTCACCCACCCTTTTTAAGTTGGATCCTGGTTTTACCTATGTGTTTTGAATAAAGAAGAGAATGATTGCATTATTAAGTTACTAACGTTAAACCTAGAATGTAACTTCAGTTTCCCAAGTGTAACCCTACAGGTAGCATGGGCTTCTTGGTGAAGAGCTTTACTGGAACATCCAGATGCTCCTGATGGATGTTCTGAGCAACCATTCTTTCCTTTGCTTGTCCACAGGGAATTCCCGAGCAATGGGCACGATTACTCCAAACCTCCAATATAACAAAACTAGAACAGAAGAAGAACCCACAAGCTGTTCTCGATGTTCTCAAATTCTATGACTCCAAAGAAACCGTCAACAACCAGAAATACATGAGCTTTACATCAGGAGGTAAGGGAAATTCTATGGAATCAAAGTGTAAAGAATAAATCCCAGTTCTCAGAGCCTCATGAAGAGGCCAACCTATCTATAGAATATTGAGATCAGCTTCAGTAATTTCTGCTAATGGCTTCAGTGTAAGTCCACCATCACATGGGGTGGGAATTTGACGCTCTAGAAGCTTTGTTTTAGTTGAATGTTGTTATAGTACAAATAAGAACATTGTTCAGTGGAGCAGTGATGGTTAGCTTGAATAGACAATCACAGTGCTAATTCTTCACTAGTGTGAATCTAGACAGTCATTTAGGATTAGACTTGAATATGATTATGAAGTAAGAGTATACAGATTAACAATGATATCTAGAAATTTATTCCATTCCTTAGAGTAATTGATCTGTTCCATGACAATGCAGAACAACTTTTGTGCTTGTCAGGGTATTATTTATCATTGGGTCCCGCAACTGGGGGGAAAAAAGAAACCATCCCCATTACTATTTGTAGAGACTGAAATACCATTGTTAATACCAAATTGTGACTACATTTGCTGGTGTATACATACCCATGTTAATCCCAAATTATGATTTCATTAGCTTTTATGTACACATTTCACTTATCATTTTATATGTAATATTTTATTTGTCATTTATCATCTTTATTTTTATTTATCACTTTATTTTGGAGAAAAGTCATCTGTGTTGGTTCTGTCGTGCAAATCATTTAGCATCTAGAGCAAAGATGAAATACTATATCATTACTACAGATGAAATGAGGCCTTCATTAAGATTGGTCCTGCCTCAACTTAGTATGCCAGACTTTGTTGACTCCCCCAGGGATGCCTTACCCTCTCTGAGGAGTGTGTGGAGGTCTTCAGTGGGGATGGCTTCCAGAGAAGGGGAGGGAGGGGGGCTGGGGTTGGTTTGTAAAATGAAAAGAATAAATAAAGATTAAGAAAAGCTGAATAAATTTAAAATCTTTTGTAAGTGACTTGCTGAAAATGTGATTTGGCCTAAATGAGCCATTTTAAAGAGAGAAACGGGACATTTGTCATAGATTTGATACTGAAATTTCCTTCTCATCAAAGACAAGCAGTTTTTCAGGTAGGAATTATGAAACAAAGGTGACTTCTTTCTTCTGACTTTTCAGATAAAAGTGCCCATGGATATATAGCAGCACATCAGTCGGTAAGAGAAAAATTAAAAATTGGTTTTTATGATCATTGTAACTTAAGACCTAACAATATAATTGCTTTATTTGGTTTTATATGTCCAACTATTAAACATAAATTTTAAAAGTAGTTTTAAAGGCATGACTTAGAAACATGAATACCTATTTTATCTCTTTTAGTGTCTAGTATGTGTCTACACATACCTATTTTATCTAGTATAAAAGGTACCACAGATTTTAGTAAATTCATACACCGCTGATATTACCACTATAATCAGTTTTCTATTCTAAAGCTATATACCATTTGTTATCACAAGTTGCACAGAACTCACAGGTTTTGCAAAAATTATTTTATAGGAAAATATTTGACTACATTGTGATATTTGTGGAAATACTACGCTATCATTGTACTTCCAGCTAAAACTTCAAAGGAACTATAATTCTCATAATCAAAATATTCACTATGTATCACAACCTGTTTTGGAAAAGTCAGATCAAGCATATAGTCTTCTAAGTTCTATTCCAATCCTAGGCAGTCATGTGTGTACACATACTAATAGCGACCTTGCCAAACCCTTAGTTTACACTTTCCTCTTTCAGAGGGAAATATGGATCGGAGGTCTTTCAGCAATCCCTTATGGGGTTGTCACAAATGCCTATGTTTAGTCCTCATTATTTCTGGTTCACTCAGATTGAGGAAAAATAGTAAATGTTATTGAAATGATATGAAACCTCATAACCAAGGTAACTTGGATCAGACATTAGAAAATCAAGGTGTCTAACACATCTAGTAGCCCTGTAGAGTGCTTTCCATCATAAGCAATTCATACTGTAGCCTCAACCAGACACTAATATGGTGTTTGCTTTTAAAGGTTTCATCTTTATACACATTTCATGCAAGTGAAATTATACAGGATGTAAACTTCTATAATTAGTTTTTTCATTCATATTTCTTCTAAGATTCATCCATGTTTTTGTCTGTATCAATAATTTACAACTTGTATTGATGCAGTATTCTGAGGTGTCCCTGTCCAGCTATTCACTCAAGTCTTTCCAGACTATGTCCAGTTCTTACATATTACAAATAAAGTTCCTATTAAAACTCATGTGTAAGGGATGATGAGATGGCTTGGTGGTTAAGAGTATTGGCTGCTCTTCCAGAGGACCTGGGTTTGAGTCCCAGCACCCACATTGTGGTTCTCAACCATCTGTAACTCCAATGCTACAGAATCTGACACCTTCCTCTGACCTCTGCAGGTACCAGGCACACACATGTGCCCCGATCTGCATGGCTTTGTGATTAACCTAATTGGGACAATGAGGGATGAAGAAAAGAAAAATATGTTCAAAAAAGCGGGGTCCAGGGGACTGTGTGCTTTGATAGAGATGCATCAGTAGCCCACTCTGTTTATTATATACAGTTGAATGTGAGTCAAGTTTATTATATACGGCTGAACAAGGCGGCAGGTTAGCTAACATGGGTAGGAGGTCTCTGTAGGGGACCGGTCTCAGGCTGCAGTCATCCACAGGGAGGAAGCTATTGCAAATAACTTTCTGCACATGCTGTCAACAACCATACTTGCTCTAGGAGACAGCCTTGCTATTCTCATAGATCTGAGGCATTGGGGTTCTTAGCATGGGCATGCTTATGTCAACAATATACATTCTTTGAGGATTTCATCCACTCCCCATACACAGTACGCAGATATACACACAGGCAAATTGCCCACAGACATAAAACATAAAATGAACAAATTCATGTATAGTTGTCTTTATGTGGGAAGGTATTTTTTGATATCTCACATTGAGAGTCTTGAAAAATAATCATATTAATGACAATTTCTCTTTATCAAACACTTAAAAACCTACTTGCAATATTCACTTAATCTAACCATTTACTCAGTTGTAGATAACCAAGCTTATTTTGTTTTTTATAGAGAGTAAATGCTGGCCTGTTTGATGTCCCCTTAGGCAGCCAGTATGACAACAACAGATAATTAATGGCAAAGGGCAAAGCTTTGAAATAGCATGACAATTTCTCAAAGATTAAAAATAAAAGTGCCATATAATTAAGTAATTATCCTCCTATGTATATATTTAGAGTAGAAAGCAAGGCCTTGAAGAGACTCTTTGTTTGCCTGTGCTCATAGCAGCTGTGTCCATGATAGACAAAAGGGGAAACTCACACAAATATCCAGACAGGTCAAGTAAAAAGCATGTATTTAAAACAGACATTTGATTATTATTCAGCAATATGATAGAAAAAAATTGAACGTGATACAATGTGGACCTAAATTAACAGTAACAAGGAGACAAATATTGCATGATTCCAAAAAATCATAGGAATTATACAGAGAAGTTACATTTGCACTGGACAAAAGTAAGATGATTGCCAAGATCCGGGGCCAAAGAGAATGCAGAATTTTCTAATGTGCACAAAGTTTTAATTTTTGGAGATGAAAAGTTGTTGATTGAGTATGCAATAATGTGACTGTTCTTAACGCTATCTAAATATGTACACTAAATTGCTTGAAATGGTAATTTTATGTTCTAGATACTTCATGGACACTTAAAAATAAAATGAGGAGGGGGTAGGCATGTTACTAGTGGTTGTATATGTGTTTAAAATATGTAAGTCCTTGGTTCAATCTTCAACACACACACACACACACACACACACACACACACACACACACTCACCAAACACCAAACAAACAAAAAACAGAACAAAAAGAAGGAAATGGAAAAGAGGTGAGGATTTGAGCATAGTGTTTAATCTTATTCCTCTACTTATCAGCTGTGTGTATTTGTGAAAATAATTTAGCTTTCAGGGCCTTTCTTTCCTCTGAGCTTCTCTTTACTCAGCATTAAATGGGAATGATAACAGTATTTGCCTCCAAGTACTTGTGTGACTATTACATATGATAATGAATATATTATACTATACTATGCAGCATATGCTCTGTATTAAATATAAGCTACTACTATTATTATTATTGTTTGTAGATGGTAACACCAGTAAAAAATTCATTCTCTCTACATAAGAAACTTGCATGTGTGTATTTGTGTCTTGCTCATACTCTGTCAGTCAGAACAAAATGTGTCTCTTACATCCGATCAGTCATTTCCTTCTTTGGCATGATAGCTTCCTGGGTCACAATGAAAATGGCAAAAACAGAAAAGAAACTGGAAAATAGGAAATAATGGAACCAGCCTACATTCAACACCTTCTTCACCTCAATTGATTTAGTCTTATATTTGTGGTAAAGACATGGATCTCTTAAAATATTGTTAATAATTCTTTGAGAATTTCATACAATTATTTTGATCATACATCCATGTCCTCTATTTAACTCTTCCAAGATTCACTCCCACTTTCATACATCCTTAATTTCATGTCCCCTTCTTTTTGAAGTTTAATAACCCATTAATTGACTCTAATTTGATGAAGATTTGATGCATGTTGACTTAGAAAATATATCATATAAAAAGTGGCATTTTGAGCCAGGCGTTGGTGGCACGCGCCTTTTATCCCAGCACTCGGGAGGCAGAGGCAGGTGGATCTCTGTGAGTTCGAGGCCAGCCTGGCCTCCAGAGCAAATGCCAGGATAGGCTCCAAAGCTATACAGAGAAACCATGTCTTGAAAAACCAAAAGAAAAAAAAAGTGGCCTTTTAATGAGATCTTGAAGAGCATATATGGGTTATACGGGTTGGGTCTATGAAGATGGTGGTGGGCATTTTAAACAAAAAGAAAAGCAGGAGAAAGATCATGTTGATGAACAGAGCAATGGATGTGGTTCTGAATCATGATTATCCAAGAAAATGAATCACAGAGCTTAGTCTTGAACGATACATTGGGGCCAAACCACAGAGGTCCTTACATGGAATTTAAGTACTCTAGCTTTTTCAGTATGCGACGGGAAGTCCTTCAAGTGTTTTGAAGCAGTTCAGTTAGGTGATTAAAGCTTATGCTTTAATGAAGAGTAATTTAATAGCAAATGTCCAACATTAATTAAGAACAGAAAGTAAGAGTCTATAGATGAAGGGTAAATAGTTATAGAAAAAATGTGTGCTTCCAGACCAGCAATAATGAGGGCTCAAAGTGAGTTAGTGCCAATAGGAATGAGCACTAACTTTTAATTCTATTATTTGAACATGGAAGGAAAGGATGAGGAACAAAATACAAATATCACGTGCTCTTCTCATATGTAAAATCTGGATTTAAAAAGGTATGAATGTACATAGAAGACTGTTTAGGAGGGGAAAGGCTAGAGGGAGGAGAAGGTAAGAACAATCAAATATTGGGTGTGCATGACACGCATGTGTGAAAATGTTAAAATGAAACCTTATCTTGTATATGCTAATATAAATCTTAAGATTGACTATATGTTTAAAATAATATATGTGTAGATAAACAGACTAGGCTATTATTTTGAGAAAGAAGCAGATCTCTTTTTGAAAGGTCTTGAGTTTCCTATTGGACAATTTGACTTTGAAAGGCTGATAAGTCTAATAGTAGTAATTGATTAAGTAAGCTGCATGCTTAGGATAAAATTCCTGTTAATGAATGAACTGAATTATACCCTTAAATTCAATGAAGTTCAACTCCAACAGTACATTTTCACTTAGGAATGAAAAATTGTACTTTGTGCTTTTATTATGGCTCTAGAGAAAGTGTACACTTCACAGTGTGCATTGTGTATATACTTGATTATGAAATGGGATCTGAATAATTGAACTGGAGCCGAATACTGTACATACAGGCTCAGTTGGTCACAAGGTTTTGGCATCCTTTAATAGCCTGGGTAGAAAATAAAATATAAGCACCATTGTCTTCTCTAGATTTTGAACTGATTAGTATGCATTGGGTATTGAATCCAGTGACATTTCCTATAGTCTCATGTACTTTGTTGTGCACCTTTTTTTGTATGAGTGTCTGTGGTGTATGGTTGTAAACATATTAATATATACGTGTACACATGTGTGTAGAGGCAAGAGGTCCATGCCAGGCAAATATAATGACACAAGGCCCACCTTACTTTTTGAGACAGTCTCTCATTGAATCTATAGATGCTTGTTTCAGCTATACTGGCTGGCCAGTGAGTTTCAGATATCTACCTATTTCTGACTCCCCAATGCTGTGATTACAGGCTTGAGCTGCCATGCCTTCCTTTTTACATGGGTGGTGGGGACCTAATCTCAGATTCCCGTGCTTTCATAGCACACACTTTACCAAAGAAGTCACTCGCTAAAGCCAAATATCAATGTTTTACATAGAAGTATTTCAAATATTTTTCAGGAACCTCACCTTTAATTTGCAGCCAATTTTTGGCTCTCATAGTTTGTTTTGATAACACTGTTCTAATGAAATGATATATTTATAATCCTGAGCTTCTATTCCAAATAGAAGGCAAAAGCAATACTCACAACAGGCCACAATTAGTGCCTCAAGAACCTGGGTGTATACTTGAAAGATTTCTCAGTTTGGATTTGTAATACTGGTTGGTTCCTTTTGATCATCTAGATCAGTGACTCTTTGGCTTGAGTGTACATCAGAGTTGCCTAGGAATTCTGATAACATGCAGCTTCAGGGGCTGTACTTCCAATAGGAGTCTAGAATAAAATTCTAAAATCTGCAACATTGTTAACCTTGTTTTTCTTTTATTGAAAATAGATTGTTTTCATGCAATATATTCTGATTATGGTTTCCCTCCCCCCCAGGTCCTCACCACTTCCTTTCCCATCCAAATTCAAACACCTTCTTTCTCTCTTTCATTAGAAAACAAACAGGCATCTAAGAGTAACAGTAAAATAAGCTATCATAAGATAAAAGGAAAACAACCAAACAAGAATAGGGCAAAAAAAAAAACAGAAGAGAAAAGAAGCTAAAGAAAAAGCACTAGAAACAAATTGACACAGAGACATACACCTTCACACAAAGAGAAGTTCCTTAAAAACACAAAATGGAAACCATAATATATATATACAAAAGACCTGTAAGAGTCAGGCAGGTTCTGTTGTCTTGCTGGTCAGTCATTCTAGCCTAGCTCACAAGCTCTGTTTAGGTTCAGTTAAGAGACTCTGTTCCAACAATAAGCTAGAGAATGTGTTGTGTATTAATTCCTGAGGGGAGGGAAGCAATGAGAGACCAAAGAAGGGGTACAACAACGTCTACCTTGATGAACCAATGAGTTTTGTTGGGGTTACTTACAGGGATGTAAGTGAGGGATTACTTATAGGAGCAGAAATCACTCAGAAACAGAGGCATCACTGAAGCCTACCCTGACATGGGTGACAGCTCGTGAAAGGGTGGAAACCTGGAGCACACTGCACAGCCTGCAGGCAGCTCAACAGATGGTAAAGTTGGTCTGAGCCTATTCAGGCAGCTTGGCTAGTTTTGTTGTTTCTAGACAGTTTGGCTGCTCTCTGCTTCTTCCAGGTGGCTCAGCTGATCTGAGCCTCTTCTAGGCAGCACAGCTTGTCTGAGAATGTCTCTCAGCAGTCCTTACTGTTTATATATGCTTGAGGAAAGAGACTAATGTACGTGTTTGGCTTCAGAAATTCCCTGAAACCTTTGTTTATTTCCTGAGTTTAAGGAGTTTTCCAGTAGGAAAGAATGTAACTCCCATTAGAACATCTCGTCTTAACAAGACTTCTCAAGATGGAGGTTTATCTCAAAGGATATTGAGGAAGACAGATGACTTGGACCAAAAACAGAAAATACAGAAGTTCACACACACACACACACACACACACACACACACACACACACACACACTATGCATTCTAAGCAAACAAAAATTTTAAATGCTGTCATTTAACACATTAGTGTAAAATCATTAAGGCATCAGCAAAATAATTTACATTTTTCATATCAAGTATATAGAATCTGGGATGTACTATACTGTTACAATATATACCAATTCAGACTGGCTATGTTTTGTGTATTCAGTACCCATGTGTCTGGTATCTGTCATATACCAAACCTATACCATGGTTTATGTGAACCTGTGTCAAGATTACCTGTAAGTCTTGTTGTAATATATATTTCAAGTGCCCAAGATTCTGATTGATAGATTTGGGTGGAAATTTCTGAGAATTTGCATTTTTAGCAAACCTCTAGATGTGCTGCTACTGAAGAGGTAGTAATTACACTTTGAAAACCATGACCTTACTTCTTTCAAAGTTCAAGTTTGCAACCATTTTCCCATGGTGTTAACATGAATGATCAAAATATTTTGTACGTCATTGCAAATCACCAGTATCCTGTTTTGTTGCTTGATTTTGAACAATTATTGATATGAGTACAAGGTACACAGATGTTAGTGTCTATTACTGGGTGATGCTTAACAAAGAAAAATATTTCTTGGCTTCTTTGCTCTTACTATTTGCAGAGCTATATTTATCCTCATGGTCATGTTCGGTATGCTATCAGAATGTAGCCTTCTAAAATGTGACAAACTGTCATTCTGGGAATCTAGTCAGTACATATACAAACTATTAATGTCAGTTATTGAATGTAGTCATTGATTTTAAGAGCAGTAAACTTTAAAATACTAAATGAATCATGAAAAATAGAAGTAATAATATAGACTTCCTGGTCCATTCTACCATGACATTAACATCTCTGGTGTGTACTGGCATTGGCTACTAATGTGAGATCATTGTACTCACTTGTCAAAGTTTTCGTTCCATCCTATAGGTACAGGGTTAAGCCTCTCATCTCTGTTTTCATGTTTCTAAAGAAAAATAAGGAAAAATTAATTCCTTGCCTTTAAACTTTTTCTGTTCTAAGAATACAAAAACAGCTTCTGAGCCTCCTTTGGCTCCCCCTGTATCTGAAGAAGAAGACGAAGAAGAGGAAGAGGAAGAAGATGACAACGAGCCCCCACCTGTCATTGCACCAAGACCAGAGCATACAAAATCAGTAAGTCAGAGAGGCAAATATGGTATGTTTCCTCTCACTTATCATGGTTTCCTGGTTTTATATAGATTCATAAAATAATAGATCCACACTTGCATATGTCCTGAATGGAAAAGTCAAACTATTTAGGGCAGTGATTGCTTCTCAACACATGGATCACGGCCCCCTGTGTGAGAGGTTGCATATCAGATATCCTGCATAACATTACAATTCCTAACAGTAGCAAAATCGCAGTTATGAAGTAGGAATGAAAATAATGTTATGGTTGGGGGTCACCACAACATGAAGAACTGTAATCAAGCATCCCAGCATTAGGAAGGTTGAGAATCACTGATCTAGGAGAACAAAGTGGAGTGATGGGAGGGAGGAGAATTGCAAAAGGGAAGGGTAGGTGTGGGAGGACATACGCTGAAAATTCCCTTAGAGAGTGTGGTGCCATGGACAATGAATACATACAATGAGTTTTTAAATGAGGTTTGAGCATACAGATAAACAAACCTATAAGGTTACAACATGGGCAGAACATGTGAATATTAGATCTATTTAGCGTTATTAGTGACACTCCTACTTAAGCAAGAAAACATCACTGACTATTTTTCAATGACTCAAAAAGATGCCTTTTGGAACAGGCTTTGTAGCACCTGTCTTTAATCCCATTATTTAAGAGGCTGAGGGGAATAGGATCCAAAGTTCTAGACCAGCCTGTGCTATGTAGGAAGACTGCGGCTCACTCAGAACAAGTCAAAGAATTAAAAACAAGATGCCATTTTTGTGGCTGAGAAGACACCTGAGTTGGTCAAGTGCTCGCTGCACAAGCTTGAGGACATGAGTTCCAGCCTTCAGTCTCCGCAGCATGTGCTTAAAATCCCAATATTGGGAAGACAGAGGCAAGGTGATCCCCGGGAATTGGTTGCAAGTCTGTCTAGCCATCTTCAGGTTTATCAAGACACCCTGTCTCTGAAAATGAGTCAGACAGCAATTGAGCGACATCAACTGGCATTCACATGCAAATGCTACACGTGTGCATGCATGCATGTGTGTGTGCATGTACACAAACAAGCATGTACATATATACATACACATGAAGATTTCAGTTATAATTCTTAGAATGTTGTTCATCAGCACCTCTTGTGCGTCTCTTGTGTTCCCACAGCTAAAGTATATGATATGAGCCTGAGGGTTAGAGCAATGACTCAGCAGGCACCAGTGCTTACTGACCTCCCAGAGAACCCGAGTTCTCAGCAGCTATGTTGGGCAACTCATAAGCACTTGTATATAAGTACTATATTTACGTCATTTCTATACTCCCCTCTTGCACCTCCAACTCCTCCTACGAACCCTCACTCCCTCTCAAACACACAACCTCTTCTCCTATAATCATTGTTGTTATATATGTGTATATTGCACAATCCAAAAGCAACACTAATAAAAGTGCCCAGTTTGTAGGGTCACAATTTGAAGTTATAAGATTGTCACATCAATGACTTGCTAATAAAAAAAAACCACACAGCTGCAAATTCATAAACCTGCAGAGGTGGAAATAAGGAAAGAAATCCATATGAACCAGACTGGAAGAATTACTAGGGGAGAGGCAGCAAGATCATGGATAGGGACTTGGGAGCTTTTAGAGTATGTGACGGTCCTTAACATTGTTTAACAACAGTGAAGTGACAGTGCCTTTCTGCCATGCCTTTCCTTACCTACTTTATTAATTGTGGAATTGGGGGGCGGGGGTGTTTGCCTTTCAGATCTACACTCGTTCTGTGGTTGAATCTATTGCATCACCAGCAGCACCAAACAAAGAAGTCACTCCACCTTCTGCTGAGAATGCCAATTCCAGTACTTTGTACAGGAACACAGATCGGCAAAGGAAAAAATCCAAGATGACAGATGAGGAGATCCTAGAGAAGCTAAGTGAGTATTTTTCCTTCAGAAAGTACTTCTTATACAGTGACTAGAAGGAGAATTGATCCTTTAGATGTCTGAATCTGCTTGTCAGACTCCAGAATCCCTTAAGTCATGAAATAAAATGTTGAGGACTTACTATGCATATCAGTCAGGTTAGTCTGTCCCCCATACTCCTAGTCCAAGAGAAAAACTAAGCATTTTCACTTAGAATGCACAACGAAGATGTAAACTTCACAAACTATATTAAGCTAGTAAGTTTTATTTTGCGTTCCCCAAAGGAATTCAGGTACTCTGATTAATATATTTTAGGACCGTACCAGATGGTTCCCATCTGAAGGACAATTATTTTAAAAAATCAACCTTCAAGTCTAAGAGACTACATGAATACTTGCAGATAAATTAGCATTCTCTTTTATGTGGGGAGGGAGGTGGAACCACCCGATGGTAGCAGTCACTTCCAAGGTGTCACTGGTGCACACAGGCATTTTCTCATACATTTATGAAACACTCAAGATTCAAGATTATGAGATAGGTTCTCCCTTAAAAAATGTCAAGGTTCTAGTGAGTGCCAGGATAGGTTCCAAAGCTACACCGAGAAACCCTGTCTCTAACCCCCACCCCCAAAAATGTCAAGGCTCTATGAATTGTATATATTAAATTCACACAGAATGGCTAGATATTAATAATCAGAGCTCCCAGTGTGACCCTTACTGGTGCCTTATTCATTTTCCTTTGTATGATACACCTTAATAACATGATGCATTAAGAATAAAAGGGCTATCACTTTTCACACTTTTGTCACTGAACAAAGAGAAAAAATGCATTTCTTGGCCACAGGGAGGCACTGTAGATGTGGCAATAGAAGAATTTGCCACCTAGGAGATACCTTAAGTTTTTAGTTTCCCAATTTAGATAGAACTACTGTCATCTAGATGATAATAATAATAACAGCTAGGAATGCTTGTAAAAATTGTACAATGTTTATGACATTCTCTCTCTTCCCCTTCACAGCAAAGTTGTCATTGGGACTGAATAATTATTTTGTGCCTATTGCATTCAAAATATTTCATATGCAGCACCACTGTCATTTGAAGTAGGGATGTTTGGGAAGGTTAAGGTTGCAGGTGAAGCTATCAGTAATCACTCAGAACTAGAATTGCTACCATATAGCAAACTGACTTTGCTATACTTGATTAAACATGCTTCTAGTGCCAGTGCCCACTATTTGCTATAATAACAGCTATAATAATTCTTGCATGAGGAACACTTTGTGAGTGGCCACTTTCCATACATTATTGAGGTTAATTTTCTCTACAGTCATTTATGGTAGACTTTGATGTCTTCATTTTACAGAATATTGAATAAAAGCTTTCAAAAGCTTAAGTGACCAAGTCACCAGAATAATGAGTGGTACAGTCAGAGTCTGACCTCACATCTGTATGCACTTTTGCCATTAGCCACTTTGGTTTTGCACAACCCAACCACTCGTGCATAAAATGGAAAGGGGAGCGAAAAAGAACCACCAGGAAAATGAAGTTCCAGGACTCAGATAATCACTATACTTTCTTCCTTTGTTTTGTATATATAACACGAACTGTGAAAGAGCTTGTATTTGACTTTCAAAATCTGACATTGGGCATTAGTAAAAATGACTGTTCTCTGGTGTCTCTTTCAAACCTCAGCACATTCATTGTCAAGAACATGGATTTATACATTTCTTAAGTCAGCTGAGAAATAGACACTACCTTTCTGAGCTACAGTTTTGCTTACAGATTATGACAGTGCTCAGGCTGGGGCCTTTCTAGCTTATTTATTTTCTTCTGCATTGAGGAACAACAGGACAAACAGGGGAAAGAATGGACTTAACTATGTTAATGAGAATTAAGTTTTAAGGCAAAAAAATGTAAAAAAAAATTAAGTGAATGTTTTTCTCTGTTGGACTTCATACTTTTTTATGGGGGCCCAGAGACAATCATTTTCCCTCTAGCAAGCATCCCTGCTATGTCTGTCTGCTGCCTTTCCTTTATGCTTAAGAATCTTGCCAAGGAAAACTGACAGAGAAATGGAAAAAGCCTTCTTAGGAAGCAGATACCTCAAATTCAGAACGCACCGCCCCTGCTTCATCTTCTCTGTGCCCCCTCAGTGGGTTTACACACTTGCAACAAGAAACAAGTCATTTAACCATGCCTGGTCTCAGTCTCTTACCTATGAAATGGGCATAAGACTCAAAGTGCATTTTTAAAGTTTCTCTGTAGGATGCATTATAAGAGGACAGGTGTTGGGGTCAGACAGGCCTTGATTCAATCACAGACCTGCTGATGCCAGCTATTTCTATTTCAGCCAGTTATTTAATTTTGCTGGTCCTCTATTTCTTCATCCAAAACGTTGGGATAATAATAGTAATACCAGCTTCATAGCATTATGCCAATGAAAACCTCAGCAAATGTATCTGGCTCTCAGTGGGGAAGTCAACAAATGCTCATTGTTTTATTAAGAGTACAAACCTTTAATGTGGTCATACAAAAGTACAAGCTTTGAAATGATTGTAACAAAGTCAGAACCATATACACAAACCTATATCCTATATCCCTTGGGAAGTCTCGTACCTTCTCTGAACTTCCCATCATGGTCCCAATAGAATGAGAGCATTTTTGAGGGCTTATAAATACATTTGATTGCGTATTATATGCATCACAATAATTACTTTTAACTTATTTTAGTACTATTGCGCAATCATTGGAGAATGGAAACGGTCTTCCACTAAGATAAGATGATTATAACTCAGGACAGTCTCTTAAGTGTACAGAAGCCATGGGAGTTCTTAGAATAAAAGGTGTAAATGAATCTTGAGGAAGGAATAGAGGAGACTGTGCTGAGAGACAAAATAAAGGGAGAAAGGAGGCAGAGGAGTGTAGGCAAGACCTGCCACCTACACCAGAGTGAACCCTTCAAGAATGAGGGAGAAATGACAGCTTCTACTTAATCATCCTCATCGTCAACCTCAAGAATGTGATTGCTAGGAACTGTGCAAGCCAAACCACAGAACTACCAGTCAATTCATCTTCCATTCAGATACTGATGCTAGAGGCCAGACCAAGGAATCATTAAGAGCTGAAATAGACAGATCATCTTTCACTTTTACCCAGACAGATACTTAGGTCTGGCTTGCTCGTTGTGGTCTGTCTGGGTCTTGTGGAAAATAAAGAAACCCCTGCATGCGAGTGAAGTTTTCAGAAGGCACAGACAGTCAGCACAATTGTGCAGTTCAGGACATTTCTCTTTAACCTCCCTATTTTAAGCCCCACAACCACTGCCCTCCCTTCCCTAGCATTGTATGCTCCAAGTTCTTTTTCCTAGCTCATTATCTGAGACTATCATAATTAATTTAGAGAATTATTAAGCTCTTCCTCAAGAATAAACACACACACAGAGAGACACACAGACACACACACACACACACACACACACACACACACACACACACACACAACCCTCCTTCATGCTCAAGGGATAACCTCTTAATGACAGGAATGCAGCTTAGCTTAATATGACAGAAAATGTATTGATTGGCCAGTGTTTTCTTTTGAAACCACAACATGAACCCCATCTTCAAATACTAGAATATAGTGGGTTTTCTTTTTAATGTTCCACTTTAAAATTAGTGGTTTGCTTCTTAATTGGTATGAAGTGGCTCTGATATTTCTATCATGTTCTTCTCCACTTGATTTTATTTACTAATCTATTCTTTGCTCAACTGTGCCCCCATAGTTTTCTTTTTCCTTGTTGTGATCCATAAAAACAAATTGTAATGGACCTACACTTGAAAAGCTTGTTTTGTGACTGGAATTGTAACAGAAAGCCTCTTGAATGCACGCTTGCCTACCGTCAGTAGATGGCAGCACACACTGTCTAGTGACGGGCAGAGGGTGTGGGGACGCCATTTTAATTGGCCAGCAGTTAAATTCTGAAGCACAGTCTCATCAAAATGGTTGTCTCCTAGTGATCCTTAGGAAAAAATTCATTTCCAGTTTTTTTTTTTTAAACATCACATACCATGGAAATAATGGTTGAATAATTTACTACCATAAAGCCTCATTAACTGAACCCTGCCAGTTGGAATTGGTTGCAATTCAGAAAGTGGTTTTAGCTGAAGCTTATTTGCTTTTTGATCAGCCTATGGAAAACAGTTTGCTCAGCAACTTCACAGCAAAACTTTCTTAGAAAAGTTAAACCATTTCATAAGACTCTGGTTTCAAGTGACTTTAAAATCATAATTTCATCAAAAGAGGAAAACAGATCCAAGGCACTTAGCCATTACATTAATAACTGACTTGGAAAAAGGAGGATTTAGTGATGTGGAAATCCATTAGACAATTTGAAAAGTAAAATAGCAACTTGAATATCACTAAGTTGGTGGCATTCTAGAGATGTAACTTGAATAAAATAAAATATATTCGTCAACCTTTCTTGAACTCTGGATTTTTTCAAAAGGAAATGCCTAATTTTACTTGTGTTAAATTCCACAAGCATTTACTGAGTACTGGATATTTTTTTATAGCTTGTACGGTATAAGGAGACATGTGAGATATACAGGAGAATAGGACTAGGCTCCTGTCATTCAAACAGCCTAAAAGGTGATGCCGAAGTGACACATTAAGGAGAGTGAAAGGGAGTACTAAAGAGAGAAAAGGGAAGTTACTAACTTTATTCAAAGGGATCATGGAAGGCTTTCTAGAAGAAGTGAAATCTGTGATAACCTTTAAAGCAGAGAGCTTGCTATGGGAAAAACATGGGAAGAATGCTGCAGGTGGAGTATAGCATGCAAAGGCTTTACGTGATCTTAGCCCAATGCCATGAAACAATGCATGTAAAGACTTGAAGGTACACACCTAGAACCTGCAATTAGAATAAAGAAGCTGAGTTAAGACGGATCGCTCTTCAGTTAAAAAATAAATCTATGATTCTTCCAGAGGTCCAGAGTTTTATTCCCAGCATGCATATCAAGTGGCTTAAAACACCTGAAACTCCCAGTGCAGGAGATCCAATGCCCTCCTCTGGCTTCCTGGAGTACCTTCCTTGCACACATAGTACCATTCTCTCTCTCTCTCTCTCTCTCTCTCTCTCTCTCTCTCTCTCTATCATGCACTCATGCACACTCACAGACACACACACATGCATTCATACTCATAAAAAATGAAAATAAAAATATGTCTGTTTCTCAGTGGTGGCACATGCCTTTAATCCCAGCACTCAAGAGGCAGAGGCAGATGGATCTCTCTAAGTTCAAGACGAACCTGGTCTACACAGGAAGTTCCAGAACAGCCAAGGCTACACTGAGAGACCTAGCCTGGAAAAACAAAGAAAAACTATGTCAGCTTCATTACAGTGATCCTAGAAGACTTTGGAGAGAATGATGTGAGGTTACATGTAGGTGATAATTAGGAAATTGTGACTTAGATAGAAAGGAGACTAGCCAGGAATATGCAAAGCATTATTCCCCAGATGGTGAGACTACTCCTAAGATTTAAAGCAGGAAGGGAAAAGGCAGGAGAAGACTAATTGCTACTTAACCTGGTTAGGTAAAAACCAGCTGCAGCTGGATGATGAATGGCCTACTGTGTTCACTAAGGAATCTGGGCTTGGTCCTGTAGTGAGGAGTAACTTTGGCAAGATTAGTTAGGGATAGATAAGCGTGCTCATACAGTGAAGATCTCCTCCCTTCCTGCAGCCCTGCCATCTAGAGTTTGGTCATATCAAGTGCCTATCATTTAGCCTTCTTAGGAACCCACGGAAGATCTTAAGCTTCCAAATCCCAATCAAACCTTGCACACAGTTATCATAAAGACAAAGAAGTATGTCCCTCTTTTAGAGAAGCTGACATTTGTTTCTGAGCAGCACCCCTCTTTTGTTATGAACCTCCATTTGTTAGCCTGTATTAAAATACCCACACTACATCCCAACTCTGCTTTCAAACAACAAAGAAGTAATATGTCCAATCTTTCTTTCTGGACTGCTTAATTGTTGTTATCTGCTGATGTCTATGTGCTGTGTCTGTACGTGTGTGTTCACACGAGTATGAACACATATGTCTGTGCAGGTGCACAGGCGTGCGGGTGCATGTGGAAGCTCTAGGTTGACACTGGGAATTTAATTGGTCACTTTTCACCTTAGTCACCAAGGCATGGTCTCTCAATTAAACCCAGAGCTTCCTGGTACGGGTATTCTGGCTAGCTGCTTCCTTCAGGATCCCTTCTCTGTCTTCTAAGCAGTGGATTTATGGGTGTCCAACTGACAAATTATGCGTGTTCTTGGGGATATGACTCTGGTCCTCATGCTTGTAAGTGCTATAAATACAGAGTCAACACTCTACCGCCAAGAATGATTAATTCAGAAAACGATATTATGGTGAGATTTGTACAAATTTGAAATACATTTTTGAAAAACATTGAGTGGTGAGAGTTACGGCTCACTCACAGAAGTCGTTGCTGCCCCTGAGTTCAAATCTCCAGCACACACCTAACACTATGGGTGTGCAGTGCATGCATGTAACCCCAGTGCTCAGGAGGCAGAAACGGAAAGTGGCCTGCTAGTCTTGCCAAAACAGTGTGCCCTGGGCTCAGAGAGAAACTCTATGTCAGAAAACCAGGTGGAGGACCATAAAGGAAGACACCTGATGTGAACTTGTGGCCTCTATACAAGCACACACATGTCCATGAACATGACATGAGTATATACACATGCATAGACTACACACACACAAAGCAATTGAACTACATACTTTAAGTGGGTGAGGTTTTTGTTTTTTGTTTTTCGAGACAGGGTTTCTCTGTGTAGCTTTGGATCCTCTCCTGGCACTCGCTCCGGAGACCGGGCTGGCCTCGAACTCACAGAGACCCACCTGCCTCTGCCTCCCGAGTGCTGGGATTAAAGGCATGCGCTACCAATGCCCAGCTTAAATGAGTGAGTTTTATGATGTTTAAATCATATGTCAGTAATCCTGGTCAAATGTTTGGAGCATTAGACCCATACCTATATACCATCCCATTATCATGGAACCAAGGAACACTATTTACTTGATATAGGTACTCATCTTACAGAACTGAATGTAGTGGAATTCTTCTCTTTATTCTAATTCAGAAAATTGCTTTGCTAAATTATAGGTATGATTTTTAGGTATTTTAATCTCCTAATCTACAATATTTATTTTATGAGAAAATTTTGTAAATGCTGGGTTGTTTCCAGTCCATTTTTTGCTTCCCAGATATGAAAAGTTTTTAATATATGCAATATGAAATATTATCACCAGTTTAATATATTTCAGTGATTTTAAAACAAATTAAGCACATTTTCCACATTAATCGTGAACGTTATTGACTTTTGATGATATCACGTTTACTGTTTAAAGCAAGTCAATCAGTTTCAATCTTTCTTTCTCTCTCCCCATCCCCCTCAGGAAGCATTGTGAGTGTTGGGGACCCAAAGAAAAAGTACACAAGATTTGAAAAAATTGGTCAAGGGTAAGTGATTTTTATTTGAAATACCAAGATGAACTCCAACAATGTACATTAACATTCACTAACATCTCAGAAGTCACACCAATTCATACCCCCTGTTTTCTGTATTGTACTTGTGTTTTGTATTCTCAATATTAGATTTTCCTGCTGGTAGATTGCTTGGTGACTAACACAGGAACACATGCTACTGGACTCTTCATTACCATGGAACTAATAGCTTTACAAGGATATTTTGGTAGCTGTGTCATGTGCACAATCCCGCTGATTTATCTAGAAAAGCAGTAGAGTTAGTTAGAGGAAGATCTAGGTTGTGTGAAAGCGCTCATATTGTCACCTTACATCCAAACGCATGTGTGGATTCCATTCTGCTTTTTAATCAAACTGAACAGTAGCAGAATGAGTATGAGAAAGTCCTTACTAAGTGGTCCCGGGTTGGACAGGGATGATTGTCAGAGTATTGACAAAAATAAATCAATAGTCCTGAAATGAGAGCAAGTTCATCATTTTCCCCTAATGTGCTTGTTAAAGATGTAAATTTCTAGGCCCAACTCACCATTACATGATTCAGGCTCCAGGAATGATAATCTTACAAAAATTCCTTAGATGATCCTAATATCAGCAAAGAATGAGGAAACAATTTTGAATCATTCACTAGGGCTCCTCAGTGTGCAACTAAATCAGAGGTCCTGGGGATGCAATGATGTCTAATGAGAGATGTACTTTCTCATGTCCATATATAAACTTCAACTAACTTTCTTCCTGTCCAAGAAGAAAAAACACAAGACAAGTGCAAAATGACAATATTCTATACTATAGGAACACAGAAAAGCTGGCTTTTAGATTTTATTCTGATGGATTTAGTTAAAAATGGGGGAGGGTGAGCTCTGCAGAGATGCAGCTGTGGTAGAGTGTGTACACAAAGGACCGAGTTCAGTTCTCAGTGTCTATGTCAGGTGTCTCACAACCACCAGTAGTTGCAGCCTGAGGGGATCCAAAGACTTTTCTGACCTCCATGGGTACCTGCACTCATGTGCACAAATGTACACACCCATACATAATTTAATTATTTTTGCTGGATGGGATATGCACTGTTGTGGACAACAGCACCACAGATATTCATTCTTCCTCATGGTAGCTACATTTGGCTTAGCTTGCTTGGCTGATGAGCACTTGCAGTGTTGGTACTCCAAATTGGAATATGCTGCAAGTATAAAATACACACATAAAGTTAAGTCCTTCTTATCAAAAATACTATAAAATATCTCATAGACAAGTTGTCTATTGATTGCCTATTGGGATAATACTTAGCATGCATTCATCTAAATCAGTTGTTCTCAACCTGTGAGTCATGACTCCTTGGGGGTTCAATGGCGCTTTAACAGGTGCCACATGTCAGATGTCCTGCATATCAGATATTTATATTACAAGTCATAACAGTAGCAAAGTTACAGCTATGAAATAACATCACAAATAATTTTATGGTTGGGGTCACCACAACATGAGACACTGTATTGAAGGGTCACAGCATTCGGAAGGTGGAGAGCCACTGGTCTAAATGAAATATATTTGTAAAACAGACTTCTGTTTTCTGGAACTTTTAATGTAATTCCAGATATTTAAAATATGGCTTATATTATATCCTTTTACGTTTCTAAAAGTTGATTGTTTAATTGACACATAATAATTGTACATGTGGACAGTGATATGATGCTTTCATTCAAGTATTTATGGTACACCTCTGTGGTATCTCAGGCTACCTGGCTCAGTAGGTAAAAGCCCTTGCCATGACCACCTAAGCTTGATTGCCGGAATCCACAGTGGAAGGGTGGAACTTACTCCAAAAAGTTGTCATTGGATCTCAAAACATGCACCATGACACATGCAAGCATGCATGTGCACACACACATCATGCACATATTATAGTAACATAGAATTTTAAAATTTGTTGCATGATGTTCAAGTCAGAGTAAACATAATGATCTCATGTATATATTTCTTCTTTATGGTAAAAACATTCAAATGAACTTTTTAACTTTAAAAATGTACATTACATTAGCAATTTTTGTTTTTTGGTTTTCAAGACAGGGTTACTCTGTGAAGCTTTGAAGCCTGTCCTGGAACTTGCTCTGTAGACTAAGCTGGCCTTGAACTCACAGCGATCTGCCTGTCTTTGCTTTCCATGTGCTGAGATTAAAGGTGTGCACCACCACTGCCCTGCTCCTAGTCTACTTTTTAATAACACACAGAAACTTCGTAGTGAACCCTTATCTGTTGACCTATCTTCTTTCACTCTTCCTTCTCCCCTACTATACCCAGCCTTGGGTATCCAGCATTTGGCTCTCAACTTCAATTAGACCACTTTTTTTTTTATCTTTTACATAAAGATGCAATTACATGGTGCTTGTTTTTTTGTACTTGGCATATTTCACTCAACATAATGAAATCCAGTTATATCCACATTGTCCCAAATGACAATATGTCATCTATTGTGTTCCTTGAGTAGTATTTCATCATGTATATGTCTTAGGCTTATATTATTGTGATAAAACACCATGACCAAAATCAATGTAGGAAGGAAAAGGTTTGTTTAATCTTAACACTTCCAGGTAAGAGTCTATCACTGAGGGGAGTTAGTGCAGAGTCCCAAGATAAGAACCTGGAGGCAGGAACTGAGGCAGAGGCCATGGAGGGGTGCTGTATACTGGTGTGCTTAGCCTGGCTTGCTCAGCCTGCTTTCTTATACACCCCAAAACTACATTTGCAGCGGTGGCTCTACCCACAATGGGCTGGGTCCTCCCACATCAATCACTAATGAAGAAAATGTCCACAGGTTTGCCTAAATGCCCATTGGGTGGGGGCATTTTCTCAATTGAGGTCTTCCCAAATGACTCTAGCCTATGTCAACAAGACATGAACAGGAACCAATATAGTATATGTACCAATATCTCTTTAGCAGTTCATGAGCTGATAGACAGACTCCCTTTGATTCCACTTCTTGGCTATTGTGTACTACACTGCAGTAATCATGTCATTTAGACATTCTGATTTGATTTCCTATGAATATGTACCCAGCAGTGAAATTCCAGGATCAAAATGTACAATGTGTATATCAGTTTAAATTCTCACTAACATTGTACCACAGTTCCCCTTTCTCCACACTGTAACCTGCGTTTGTTACCTTTTGTCTCTTGGTATTAGCCATTCTTCTGATGAGACGATATTTCATTGTGGTTTTGATTTTAATTTCCCTGATAATTTATGATATTAGCATTTTTCATGTCCCTTTGGGCATATGTCAGTTTTTGAAATTTTTCTGTTTAGAGCTATTTGCTATTTGTAAGTGGGATTTGGGACTTCCTTCCTTCCTTCCTTCCTTCCTTCCTTCCTTCCTTCCTTCCTTCCTTCCATTCTTTTTTCTTTCTTGCTATTGATGTTCTACAGTTCCTTATATATTCTAGATCCTTCTAAGATTGATATATCTCATGTACTTTCTTCCATTCTGTGCATTCTTAAGTTTTCACTTCACTGTATTTAGTTTTTGCAGTTTTGCGTTTGGTTTTATGGAATCTCATTTTTTCCAGTTTTGATTTTTGTTAACAATTCACAGTGTATTTCTAATGGAAAACACTTTTTAAATTATAATTTTAATAAAGCACTTTGTTGCATAACTGTGTTCTGAGCGGTGAGGATGGAAGGTACAGTTTGATTTTGATTGTTTGATCACACTAAGATACAGCTGAACGAAAATAACATTGAATCTAAAAATGAAATAAACAAAAGCAAAACACACAAAAACGCTTATGAAATGCTTTCAAATATCCTAGCTAATATTAAAAACCCTCACTAAATAGATTTCCTCTTGTGACTGCTAATCATACCTGGACTTCTAAATGTAAAAAAGGAAAGCGATAGATAAATACCTTTATAAAGTATGTGTTCTCTAAAATTAAAGGGGGGAAAGTCCAGACACAGAGGCACACCTCTAATTTAGCACTCAGGAGGTAAAGGTAAGACAGGTGTTCAAAGTCACCTTCAGCTACATAGCAAGCTTGACACTAGCCTGGGCTACATGAGACCCTGTCACAAAAGAAAAAGATGAAGAAGAGGGGGATGAAAAGAAAACCAAAAAAATCATACATAAGTCTTATTTGCTGCAGCAGAAACATCTGTTTTCAATTCCCAAAGAGTGCATGATTCTTAAAAATGATGGTGCCAACTGAGAGTTCAACCATAGTAAGTTCTTAGAGATTAGGAAGTTCATTTTCTTTCTTCCTTTGTCTTCTTCAGAGTCCAGCATGCTGCTAAGCATGGCATGGTGACACATACTCTGTACTTAGTGGGTCCTCAGATTTTTTTGTACAGTTATGAATAACAGCAAAGCTTAAAGATTACATGTCTGCTGGTCCCATCTCTCTGGGACTCTTTTTGCATCAGTAAATATCTGTTGGACTGATGAAAATGTTGTCAGCTAGGCAGTGGTGGTGTACGCCTTTAATCCCAGCACTCAGGAGGCCGAGGCAGGTGGATCTCTGTGAGTTCGAGGCCAGCTTGGTCTACAAGTTCTAGTTTCAGGACAGCCTCCAAAGCCACAGAGAAACCCTGTCTCGAAAAACAAGAAAAGAAAGAAAGAAAGAAGGAAAGAAAGAAATGAAGAAGAGAAAAGAAAGTGTCTATCTAGCTCTCCTTTATATTCATGCCTTTTTGTTTTTTTATCACTCATTTTCTCAGTGCATCTTCATCTCTTTATTTTTCATAATGCCTTGCTCTGTTGCTCCTCTGGTGTGTGCTGCACATCTATCTTTTTCATGCATGTTGGCTTTACTTTTCACTGACAATTTTCACACATACACACACAACACAAATAATCATAATATAAAAGGGGTTTTAAAAACTAAAATCAAAGCTTGCTTTAACAATAGCTTTTAGGATATAATGTAAGGGCTTAAGTTTATTTATTGGGATTTTATAATTTATTTTATTATATTTATTTAAATTTAGTTATT